CATGGTTACCAAAGGGGCAAGGAGGGGAGGTATAAATTGGGAGTTCAGGATTTGCAGATATACACTATTATATATAAAATAGATAAACAACAAGGTCCTACTGTATAGCACAGGGAACTATATTCAATACCTTGTAGTAACATATAATAAAAAACATTATGAAAAACAATATTGTATATATGTACAACTGAATCACTGTGCTGCACACCAGAAACTAACACAGCATTGTAAACCAACTATACACCAATCAATCAATGAAAAGAAATAGCCAAATCAATAAACATGAGAAGCACTTTGTCTTTAGAATGCTAGGAAGAGATTAAAAGTGAAATTATAGCATACATCACAACAAAACAACACCAAAGTCTGATGCTTTCAGACAAACAGAAATGAGTCTTTAAGTCCCATGGAGGAAATGAATCACATGCTACTGTGCTTTTCAGTATCACTGAGATTCCAGAAAGCTTTTAGTGCAACCACTCAGTCCCTATTTTGGCACATCTGCACTGTGGGAACTGTTCTAGGATCCGTTGATCCTACTGATGTTTACTGAGGAGCCCGTCCTAAGTGTCAGGCTCTAGATGTGACACGACTGTGCATCAGAGTAAAACATAAGTATGAATCAAGTAAACAAAAGATCAAAATTCAAAATGCCATTACACCTTGGGACAAATGCTATAAAAACCTCATCCAATTTTGTTATAAAGTTGTGATGTAGAAGAGATATCCTGAAAAGGTGACATTTAAGTTGAGGGCTGTTAAAGATGGAAAAAAGCCTCCGTGTAACAAGCAAGGGAAAAGCATTTCAGGCAGAGGGAACAGCATTGCAAAATGCTGAGCCAGGAAAGAACCTCTTGTGGTTGAGGATCTGGAAGGAATCAGTGTATCTAGAGCAGAGAGGGCAAGGGCACTGGGCATGAGATGTCGAAGACAGAGGCCGAGGCCAGGAGGACAGATTCTCAGAGCTCAGAGAAAGGAGTTCGGATTTTCTTATACGTGTATTGAAAGTGCACGAGAGCTGTGCTCTCCAATATAGTAGCCGCCAGCTCTATGCACCTTTTAAATTTTTAATTTTAATAAGTTGAAGTTAAATTAAGTTAAAATTTCAGTTCCACAGTCACACACGCACACACATCAGGGACATCGTGGCTGGTGGCTTCCACGCCGGTTGGTGCAGATACAGAATCTCCCCATCACTGCAGAAAGTTCCATGGGACAGTGCTGCCAAGGGGTCTAGGCTGGAGAATGACATGGAGGTTTTCATTGTTTTAGAGATGACCCTGGCTACGGGGTCAATAATCAGTTGTCGTCACGAGAGACTGATGCAGGCTGTCAGGAGGTGAGACAAGTGGTTGGCATCCGGGCTGAGTTCACCCGGGAAAGCAGCTCTCTGCTCCCCTGGGACCCTCCGAACTCACTGGGGCGTCTGTGCCTCAGCGGCTGGGACGGCTGGGACAGTCCTCCACAGGCTCTTTCTTCTCCAGGAGAGCAGCCAAAGCCTCTTTACACGGTGCTGGAAACTTCCCAGCAGCCCAAGGAGGGCAGGCCCCAACGTACAGGCACTTCTCAAGTCTCTGCTTGTATCACTGGGCTGATGTCCTGTCGGTCAAAACAACTCACCTGACCAAGCTCCCCGTCAATGGGAGAGGGACCCACACAGATGCAGGACGCTGGGAGGGGTGGGTCATTGAGGCCCGTGTTGTATGAGCCACTCACATCTGCCTCGGAGACGGCTTCATTTCCAGACACTTCTAATTGTCAGGGAATGAAATTTGTCTGCCGGTGAGAACCCCAGGACCAGCTCCCCTAGGATGGTGGGCAGGAGGGTTCAGTGACCCTTGATGCTTGACTTTGTCAGCGGTCATTTGCAGTTGGCTTTGTCCTGTGGAGACTAGAGGTTGGAGGGTTGGGATCTGTTCCCCTAGGGGACCCTTATAGCCCCTATCTGCCTCCTCAGTCCCTGCACCTTCTGCAGTTCTGAGTCTGTTTGCAGATCCGTTGTGACAACTATCAGTCCATTCGAATGTTCAGTTTTCTGCGAAGTTCTGTGCTAACCCATCGTTACCCCACCAACTTCCTGTAGCCAGTATTCAACGGTCCTCAGTTTTCCTCCCTCCTAAGTCAGTTCCCAGGCACTGAGGCTCAGATTTGGGTTCCTTAGCAGTGTGTCTCCAGAGAACTTCCCTCTGCGGCTTGATTTGGCCCTGTCAGCAGTAAGCATTTATAAGTGTCAGGTGCCATTCTGAACATCTGACATGGATTCACCATTCAGTCCTCACGGTACTCCTATGAGATAGCCCCATTTTACAGGTAACATGCTTAAAGCATAGAGAAAGCACGTAATTTGCCAAAGGTCACGCTGCCGGAGAGTAGGGGCTTGGAGTCACCCCCGGCAGGGGATGTCAGAGCCTCTTCCCCACCACCCTCCTCACTGCCCTTCCAGGTGCGAGGGCTCCAAGTTCGAGAGCCTCCGTCAGCCCTCAGGTTGCTCGGCAGCAGTGCCCAGGGGCCCCCTCACAAGTGACTCCAGTCCCTCTCGGGGCAGACAGTCATGCTGTACCCTTTCCTGTTGCAGGTGCAGTGGGAGTGCATCAACCCCAAGTACAAAGCCAAGAAGAAGAACTATAAGAACTCGGGGATCGTGATTTTGAATCAATGCAAGGTACCTGCATAGCCCCTGTCTTCCAGGAGGGCGGAGCCAGGGCCGTCCGGGAGGAAGATTTCGGGCTGTGTGGACAGAAGGAGAGAGTGTCAAGGAGACGGGTTTTTTTTTAAATAAAAATCAGAAAGCCAGGGGAGAAGGCCCTTGTTTAAGATGTAGAAGTGAGGGGGGAGGATATAGCTCAGGGGTAGAGCGCATGCTTAGCATGCACAAGGTCCTAGGTTCAATCCCCAGTCCCTCATTTAAAAAAAAAAAGTACAAATAAATTAATAAATAACCTAATTACCTGCTCCTCAAAATAAAGTATAAAAAAACATAAAACAGCTCTCATCACTGAATGCTAGGTGCACAGCTGGGACTCAATAAATCCTTGTGGAGCAAGTGAGTAGGTGAATGTCACCAAGAATCAAGCAGCAGAACCATCAAGAAGCAGAGTAAGACTACACATCAGTCAGGCACATGAGAACTCAGATGCTGGTGGCTGGGCAGAAACAGGCTGCACTGGCTTCCAGCCTGGAGGTCAGAAGGATGGACTCTGCAGTCTAGATGGCCATCATTTGAGTCCCACCTCCACCATCAGTGTCCTTATCTATAATATGGGCACAGTGAGAATGA